ACGGTCTTAGTGTCTACTAATGGCAGACCTCTTATGCAAAAAGAGAATGTTCTCTGGAGAAAGTTTTAATTGAATCCCTCGTTTTCCCGAAAACGTACGAAAGAAGCTGTGAAGTTTAGAATGTTACCATTTAACCCCTCTCTGCCCTCATTGATCCGAGACCCGGTTTGGCAATAAAGGAAAACCCAAGTAAAAACCGGTGAAACTAGATCGAACCGATTAATTTCACTCACACTAATGGTCTTAGAGCAAATTCTCATTTTTCGGCAATCGATTTGTTTGATCCAGGGTCATTTCTAGGTACAGTATCTGCAATAAACTAACTAAAAATGTTTTGATGTATTTTAGAGCTCGAAATACTTTTTAACATGTGTAATTAGGGTCCAATATTAAACAGAATCCGTAACTTTTTGGGTTTAGCCGGTCTTCGTTTGACCATCAAAAAAATTGATGAGGATACTTTTCTTTTGTTTAAAGGTAAAACCAATTGGTTTGTTTATAAACAAATTATGGTTTGGTTCCGGTTCAAACGTTCGTTTGGTTTTTCAAAATTTGGTTTGGACATCGGATTTGATTTGACCGATTTTAAATAATTTGGTGACGTTTTTCTCTTATTGTTCGTTGTGTGGGTAACTGGTAAGTGATACCTTTAGATGCATCTGATTTAATAACCAACTAAATGGCTACTGGAATGTGAAACCTAGTGAAGTGGTTTGTTTCACTTGCAGGTCAAGGAATCAGAGATCATAGACAGCAACAAAGTTCATTAACACACTCCCCATCCAAAGCTTCCCATCTTTTTCTTCCACTTCACTTACTGATCTCACAACTTTCCCTTCACTATCTTCCAATACCTTCACAAGTTTCCCTTCTGGGCTATACTTTACCACTAAACCGTGCGACCGCATCCCGATCTGGAACAAGTAGTGCGTTCTTGCAGTGACTGGGAGTTTCAGTATGAACATCCTTAGCTTCGGGTATTTCGCCATTATGTATGAGTAATAGTTGCGCTTGCAATGAAGCGCCACCCAAAATTCACCGTTTTCGTTTGTCCTTACGTTATCAGGATGTCCTGGTAACATCGCAAACACATCTGATGTTCCAGCTTTCTCGCCTTTTAACCAGTATCTTCGTAGGCTGCAATTGCATCCAAACAAACAAAAAAACGATTATTTAGTTGTAATGGATCGAGATAGTCTTTAATGGTATTGACCCTGAAATGAATCCTTTGATGCATGCACACTAGTGAGGCAACTGACTCAAGGTCTATTTACACTTCAAGATATCCCATCATTGGAGATTGGCCAACGACGTCAACATCATCTCAAAGGGGAATTACTATTACTACTCACCTTCCAATATCTCCCTCGCAGAACACAAAGAAAGAGCCGTCTTTGCTGATAGAAACACCATTCGGAAACTGAACATTTGAGACTAGAACAACAGCTTTCTTCGCTATTGGATCATACTTTAGAACTCTCCCACTATTATCTCCAGAGAAAACGAGCTGCATGAAGTTCCTGAAAGAAATCACAGTTAAGAAAATCAGAACTTGTAGAGAATGATGAGTTTATTATTCAAAACTTGTAGAGTAAGACACTACACATAAATAACCAGCAACATCCACACATTTATTCGACCAAAATCATTTTCATTCATAGTTAGCTACTTGCTCAAACTCAAATGAAGCATCCTCAAGTTTGCAGAATTTAACTGAGCAACATCTTTAGCTTCTGTACAATTACCACATATCTTAACTTCCCAGGAAAAATCCAGCTACTCTAAGCAAACAAACTCGAAAGAGAAACCGGAAAAAAAGGAATCGAAAGAAACATACCTCCTCTGGTAATTGGTGCTGCTATCTGTGAAGTAAACAGTTCCATCATCATGAATGTCAAGGTCATTAGTAAACCCTAATGGCACACCTTCAGCCTCAGTTACAAGCGGCATAGCTAAGCCACCTTCAGGACCTACTTTCAAAAGTCCCATATATGCGTCGGCGATGTACAAATCGCCGGTTCTCTTATCGAAACGGAGACCTAAAGGACGACCACAGATATGTTCATTCCTCAAGTAATTCAGAGCAGAAGGCTTCGGATCACAAATCTCCGACCTACAATTGTCACCAGTGTTAAAACAAGTTAAGAGGATCAGTCAAGTGAACTCGGTTCACTGAGTCAAGTCTCACTCACCGATTGCTCGAGGTGTAAGCGAAATCAGTCCATTTCTCGCCATTCCAAAACAAAACCCTGCCATCAGCGACTCCAGTGTACGGACCGCGTCCTAGAGGATCAAACGCGACGCTCTCGGGACCCTGGACCTGGTTGAGAAACAGAATCTCCGATTTCTGAAGCGAGTTCCGTGAATCTCTCTCCCATGGAACCTCATCGGGACGTGGAGAGACAACCTCGTGAGCGACAAAATCCGGGAAATCGGAGATTGCGCAGTGGTTGAATGGGTCGATGGTGCAGTAA